AGCTTTATACTAACATTTCTTACTAAATAAAACACGGCGAGCAGTTACGCTTGCAAACGAACGCCAGTGTTCAAACCGCTGAAGCAGGTGGCCCGGGAGTCAAAGGCATCGAAGCCTGTTTCATCTGTGGTCCGAGGCGAAGATTATCTCGCTGTGGTAAACAACACAACGCGACTTGGTAAATAACTACGACATTCCACCTCTCTAAGCTTTCAAGGACTTGACAGCTCGCACGGGCAGCTTTGTTTCCACAGAATGGCGCACCCAATTTCTCGCGTGCAAAGCCTTTCGAGCCTGGTCATTGTGTCCCTCTATCCGGTAGAAGACTTAAGTGACCTCCTTTTTCCAAAGATCGCTTTATCTCTTTCCTGGCTGCAACAAGAACCCTTTTCGCTCTCTCCAGGCCGAAAACTAGCTCTGCATTTCTTTTTTTACTTTGCGAGGGGTGCTTTTGGTTGAGAAAGCACGCTTCTAAAGGATCTTCCCCGAAATCGGTTCTTGTTTAGCGAAAAGAACCCTTTTTTGCTCATTTGGCTCCTTTTTTTCTGAGAGTGTTCGTGTGGTCGTGGTTAGTTCTCAAGTAGAAAAAAAAACATACTAAGGGTCTCAAATATGTTTGACAAGGCATTGCTGGGTTGCTCGAGCTTTTGAAGGGCAACTCCGGCCCATACTTTCGATTTTGGGATTATGACTGTTTTTAGTGCAGTCAGCGTCCCTGAATTGCAAGGTGTAATATTTTTCTCGTTATTGTGCGTAGTTTTAAAGATGTCGACGCCTCAATGTTTTGTTTGGGGCGCTGCCAACAAAACCGAAACTAGCCGCTCGAGGCCCCGGCATCACTGGAAATCAGCCGCTACGTGAACGTGAAGTCACGATCGTGCTCGTTCAACGAGTACGCAGGCCGAGCGGCACCTACCTCTGTTGCGCTACCCGTCTAAAGATAGGAGGTAAGCTGATTTTGTTTTAATTCCGTATACGTGGTAGTTATCCAGCATATGTAGCATGAGTTAGTGCGCATACCCAAAAGCTAGCGACTGGAAAACCCGTGAACTGGTACGGTGCCGTACTCGGCGGCCGCCGCCGTGCGTGCGCTATGCCGTACTCGTCGCTTGTATACCCAAAAGCTAGCAACTGGAAATCGAGTGAACTCGGCGCCGTACTCGGTGGGCTGTCGCCGTTTATGCGGTCTTCCGTACTCGTCGCTAGGCCTAAATGTTCATCGGGTCTTCGTGGATGGAACGGCGTTGCTCTACGCCGCGCTGCCAGTGACCTACGGTACTGGCCCTCTCGCTTTCGCGCTGCGGGTCAGTCCCAGACACGAAGCTTTGAAACTCCCCGGCGCGGGCCGCGGCGCCCGAACACACGTGTGCTCTGCTGGGCTGTACAAGTCTGTTTTTTTGTTCTTTTTTCCTCGGACGCGTAAAAGCCGAAGTCCAAAGTCCACTCGTCGAACACCGCTCACCCAGACCTTCTCCAATTTCTGATCCGTTGGAAACTTGTGAGAAAGCACCTCCGTGTTGCGCAGCGGGTTGTTTGAGCAGCCCACAGCGGTACAAGTTGCACTCGGCATCTTTCGAGGAACAGCTGGGTAGTCTTGAGCGCACCGAGTTGCTCGCTAAAACGAGTCTTGGAGTTCTCACAAGCAAATAAACAAAAGGCTATTCCGAAGCTATACGGGCTACAGATAAAAGCAACGGCTAAACACGCCAATCACAAGCCGAAGTAGCGGTGTTAGCTGCTCAAAGGAGCGCACTCCGCGCAACGCCCGGACCGGAGGAAAAAAAAAGAACGATACTGACATCACGGCCCAGTGTTGCTTTAGCGATCGGCAACCCGCTGGCCGCCCGCTAAGGAGCAGCGGCTCGTGGCGGGTCGCATTTTTTTTATCGGCCTTAGTTGAGAATGCGGCGTCCAACGGACGTAATATTTTGGCTGGTGTCGTATTTTGTGTCACTGCAGCGATACCAGTAATTTATTCATTTTGAGTTTTGGCCGTAGTTGCCCTTTAAGTATGGCAAAATTTGTTTCAATATGAGGTCAGGCGCAGCCGACGCGACTTGATGGAACCGATCAAGAAGGGAAAAAGTGTAAAAATCGCATGTCACCGGGTTTTTGTTGTTGTTGTTGTTCTTGTTTTTTTGTACATGATAGGTTCAGCAATTGAACACGCACGACACCTGTCGAACACCATGATGTTGCACTTTTGACGTTGTTTGGTTGTTCCCATGGACTGTCACTCCCCTCTCTCACGCCCCCCCCCCCCCCCTCCATGAGAAACTCCTGTGGTAACATCGAAGCACACGCGCGGAACAGCGATCTACTATCGCGGACTATTTGAGCGGAATCAGTCCTTTATGGCTCTTGAGCGCACCTGCCAGTTTTTAAGAGAGCTGAAGTCAGAAGTAGAGGAATGTAATGCGAAGTTGAGGTATTTTACTTGAGACTATATGGAAAATTGAGATACAATAGAGCTTGTGGGAAACCGCAGACGTAGCGAAAGGCCAGATCGGGTGTTTCAGTTCATGTTGCTTATCGCGCCCATGCGCGGTTTGCGGAACGATCCGCCCACTGGGCGTGCCGCACTGTCTTCCCAATGCGCCGCAAGAGAAAAGAGCAGACGAAAGAGGAGATAGCTGAAGAGAAGCGACGGCGTGCTGGGTATGACCGTGATCGACGTGCCAAGGGACGCCTGATGAGAGAACGCGACAATTGGCAATACAGAGAAGCGAGGCACGTTCACCACTCATAGTTGCCCGCTACGGTTCATTGCAGTTTAATCGACGAAACTTTGCCTTCACAGGTTTTTTTTTTTTTTTTTTTTTTTTTCTTCTTTTTTTTTTTGTCTTTTTGTTTTAGTTACGCTTTTTAGAGCGCAGCTTTAGGCGCCCGATTGCGGCTTGAGCGGCGGCGGCATCGCCGTCGTCGCAACCACGCGTTGCATGATGGGACTTTTCCCATAATCACGTGTCACGTGTGACGTCACGAGGGTCACCAGGGAGGACGGGAATGAGGCGGAGTAGGAGGGGACTTTTTCCGCTAAATTTAGCAGAAAAATTCCCCACTAAATTTAGCACAAAAAAGTTCCGCACTAAATTTATCGGAAAAATGTCCCCCTTAAATTTAGCGGAAACAAATTTCGACCTAAATTGAGCGGAAATTTTTCAATCTAAATTTAACGGAAAATTTGTCCTGCAAAATGTAGCGGGAAAATTTTCCCGCTAAACTTTGAGGAAACAATTCCCCACTAGCGAAAACTTTCTTTGCTAAATCTAGCGGGAAACATTAAAAATTTCCCGCTTTATTTAGCGGAGAATTTTTTTCCGTTCAATTTAGCGAAAAATGTAGCGAAAATTTCCCGCTAAATAGGAGGTGAGTATAAGAGGAGGAAGGGTGAGGAGGGGAGGAGGGGCATACCCTCCCCTCCGCAACCTACCCTCCTCCTCAAGAACTGCTCACTAATTGGGCATAACAGGGAGTTGTAAACGTCTAATTTCTAAAGTTGCTTTTTCGTGCCTCTTAACACTCGTGCATACAACGTTACTTCTGGTTTAAAATAATACAAAAGCGCGTACTGACGAAGGAAGGTATACACGTAACGACACGCACGGGTGCCATACTTCCTTTCACCTTATAGTGCAGACGCAGCCCACGCCACGAGCTGATGATACCAATCAGACAGCGTTAAAATCCTAACATCATGTTGTTCGTCGTGTTTCTGTTCGTGTTTCATCGTTGCTGAACCAATAACAAACAGAAAAAGTCCAGTGACTTGCGCTTTTGACGCTGCTTGACTGATTCCCTTACCTCGGCTGCGTCTCGGCTTACGCTGAAACGAAGTATATCACTCTCAGAAAAAAAGGTGTATTATTACACCCCTTGTCCCATATAATACACCCCAAAACTTCAATTCGACGTACAGCGCCCCATAATCGAACAGGCGGCCCTAAAGTTTACGAGGGGCTTGATAGCCGTGTGGTACAACTTATTAAGATAGCTGATGTACGTATTATTGATTACAAAAAAGATTATCGGAGTTTTCTTGGCCGTACTGCAAAAGCTCCGTCTTTTTCTTCTTTGCTCTTTGATACGTACTTTAGCAATTTAATAAGTTATATCGCACCGTTATCAAGCCCCTGGTAAAATTTGGTGCCGCCCGTTCGACTATAGGGCGCTGTACGTCGAAATGAAGTTTTGGGGTGTATTATATGGGACAAAAGGGTGTACGGTGATACCCTTTTTTTTTAGAGTGTAGTGTTCTTGCTGTTTAGATTGTTGAAAGCATTGTCATCCAACTAGACCAAACCAGAGTTTTCATCTTGCTCCTCCTGTCATGTTTTGATTACTCCAACCAAACTCCTTAAAGTGAGGCCTAAATTTAAAAATAATTATTGTTAACTAATTGAGTTACGAGTATTATAAATTCGACAGCAGGTTGGGCAGCAAATGAACATTTGTTGTTGTTGTTGTTGATGTTGTTGTTGTTGTTGTTGTTGCTGTTGCTGTTGTTGTTGTTGTTGTTGTTGTTGTTGTTGTTGTTGTTGTTGTTTGTTTTACTTTTGTTTTAAAACGCAAAGCCATAACTTTTTCCTCCTTCTTGGCCCCTTTCACCTTCCTTCGGCAAAACTATCGCCACAAAATAAATGACATTTAAAGTATATAGGCAATCCACTCCCCGATTTTGTTGTGGACGCCGCCTTTTTTGCCGTCCAGTGCAGAGAGGGCGAACTTGGCGACCGTTACGACTAAAAAATGCGACTTGCTCAGCTTAAGATTGGTTGTGAGGAATCTCGAACGATAGCGTTTTACTCGGTCACGAACTGCTCTAAAATTTCCGCGGAACTGAAAAGCACTTCCTGCCATGTCAAATAAAGTTCCAGATAACAGCGGTCACAATTATTAAAAAACAACAACAAAAAAAACAAGATGACTCAAGTGTCGTTAGTCTCAAGCGCAGATAATTCTGTGTCTCCATGCTTCATTAATAAAAAGAAACTAAAGCGGAGAGTATTTATTGTCTTTATTGTAAAGTCGTTTTGTACATGACCAAAAGTACATCGAGGAATTTATTGTAGCAACGAAGAGAAGTCGCAATAGCTCTCTTACACTAACAATGGCCGAAAAACCAACCAACCAAACAAGATGCCACAATGCCCTGGAGGAGACTGCGATTAAAAACAAAGGTAAACAAAAGCTCGCAAAAGGTAATAGTATTGGCGTGTTTTGATTGATTCGTTTTTGCCACGGCATATACAATGCCCAATCCTTGTCGACACCAAGGTACCTCATGGTAAAACGCCGCACACTAAAAGTATACTAATTCTATACTTTTACGAGCCACTCTGCCAAGTATACTTAAAGCATCAATTAAATTTACATGGTGCATGTACAAACTCCCGAGAAAAGAGAACCCTGTCTTTCGGCCCAGGTAAATAAACTATGGATCGCAGAATGCTCAAGTTGTTTGAGAAGGTGACTCTAGCGGTTGGCGTCAAGTGCGAAAGTTTGAGAAGAAGACGTTGCCTGTATTAGACGATAACTGAGAAAAACAAATTTTCTCTATGAGCCGACGTCCACCTAAGCCTAATTTCGTCCAAACACAAAATGGCGTTGTTGCGGGCGCCTGTAGCTTCTATTTCAGTTAAACATGCGTGTCAGCAAGAAAGGAAACAAGATTTTATTTTTTGGTGACAAGTCTTTTCGCTTATATAAATCCCAGGAGCGTTCACAATAAAATTTCGTATAGTTTCTTATTTTGGCAATATTAGGCTTAAGTGGATGTCGGCTCATTAAAGAATTTCGTTTTTCTCAATTATCTTTTTATCCAGGTAACATCATCTTCTCAAAATTTCGCGCTATGCCCTAGCCGCTAGCGCCACATCCTCACGGAGTTTGAGCACTCTGCGATGCATATTTTATTTATCCGGGCCGAAAAACACGGTTCTTTTTTTTCTTAGGAACTCCCGGTGCTTTCAGTATGCATATTCTAGTTGCACTACTGGGCCGAGGAGCGAAACCCGCTGCTAAAGTACGAAGCGCAATAAAGGTACTACATTGCCAGTATACTTCAGATATTGAAAGTATAAATGTTAAAAATATACTTTCAGTGTACTTTTTTTTTCATAAAGGCATAAAATTAGTGTACAAATCTTGTTGCTTTTTACCGAGGGACGCGCTATGAAGTGAAATGGGTGGCCACGTATAGCAGGTTTAAATTGCGTCAAAAACTACTTAAATAGAAAACGCAGCAAGAGAGCACAAATAACACCCGAAGGACTGCCATTCACTGTTTGGTAATGACAAGGTAAGCACCAACACGACGCCGGCGCATTTTCATACTTTCTCGGACAGGGCACAGTGATGAACACCGATGGCTGTCGCCCAAAATTAGTCTCCAGGATTGGCACAATTCATGACACGAAAAGATCTAATGACGGCCTTCCGGGTCTAAGATAAAAAGAAAAAAAAACGGCTATTATCTCGTTCGTACTAAACAATGCCGCGCTCTACGCAATACGATTGTACGCACAGCTGTGTGCCTTGAAAAGACAGCTATGCCAAGTCTGAAATCATCTGCAGACTGCTATTCAGGCGTGAAGAAACGACGCATAAACGAGCTAATAAACGGAATCCAATGAAACGTACCACACCTGTGTCTTTGGGTGGTGCATTCGTCATACTCATATTTCGTAAGTGTAGGTTTTTGAGAAAAGAAAATTCAAGGAAATAAAGAGAGGGGAGCCTGGCTTACTCTTAAGATAACAAACGTAAAATTTCAGATTTCTTGATATGCTGCCGTACACTTCAAGCTTCACCTTTTCGCCTGTTTCCATACCTTCCCATTAGCTTGCTCTCTGACCATTCTTCTCCAAACATGTATATGGCCCCCGCCTTGCCGTGCGAAAAGCGCCTGAAACCTTGTTTTATGTTTTCCCCCTCTTTTCCTTTTTTTTATTATTTTTGTTGTTTAGAGAAGGAGATATCAAAAGAATGCGTCATGCAAAAGAACCGAGGTCATTCTTTAAGCTTAAGCTAAAGCAGTTCTATGTTTGATTTAAAAACACTTAAATCGACTTTATTTGGCCTCCAGGTTCATGAAAATCGAGATTTATTTTTTTATTTAGTTCATGGAGGTTTCAGAACTTTATTTTGAAAGTACGCTGATGTACGCCGGAGTGTTAAAAAGGAGTTTTCGGAATTTGCGCTCTCACGCATCTTCGGCGCCTGTCAAAGCTATGCACGCCCACTCTTGCTACTTTCAGAATAGTCAGAAAAAGACTTCGCGACTGGTGACAGTGCGGGGGAATATACCTGGCTAGCTTGCAATTGCACGCGCTGCCTACACGAGCGACACGCGTTTGGCGGCCAAAGGATCCTTTTATGACGTAACGACTGGTCGAAGGTGTTTTGTGTTTTCTAGCGTTTAGTGACATTTTTTGGGAAAGCGGACACGATATTCAAATTCACGTGATACAAAGCATGTGGAATTCACCTCTACCACGTTTTCTTCAAGAACCGCTTGAGCTTTTTTTTAGAGGTCCCTTCAAAAACCCCGCTAACTAGCGCACTCCAAACAGGATGACAATAAAGAGGCATGACTCTCACCAGTTTGCATCAATCATAAAACATACTTCAAATATGCTTCATCGAGCAGTACCTTAAAAACGTATCGCGAACGTGCAACGTGACATCCAATCTAAGTTCCAAAGGGTGGGAGGCTTCAGTAAACATTCCGGAAAAAATTATGTGCTCTCTTAAAGGTATACACTATTGGGACTAACTTCCTCGAGTGGGCTCCGTGCTGAAAAATAGGCCTCCTTAACAAGTAGCACGGTCACGAGTAATATTCCCGAGTTTAAGTGTTGTGCTTCTTAACAAGTAGCACAATCGTAAGCAACATAATCCATTGAGCTCTCGGTAAAAGCATGCTGCTCCTTAACAAGTACTACGACCAGTAGTTCAATCTCGAGTGACCGTTCTGCGAAAATATCGTGCTCCTTAAGACCTAGCACGATTATGACTAACATGCTCGAGCGAACTCGGTGCTAATGTATGGTGCTCTCTAACAGGGGGCACGACTACGAGTAATATTCCCGAGCGAACGCTCCGCAAAAAAGCGTCATGCTTCTTCACATGTAGCACGATCATGAGCAACATGATGACCCAGGGAGGTTTCTGAAAGAGTATGCTGCTCCTTCACAAGTAGCGCGATCACAACTACGATGATCCAGTGAGCTCTTCACAATAGCATAGAGCTTCTTAACAAGTAGCACTACCAGAAGTCCAAAATCAAATGACCTTTCTGCGAAGGCACTGCGCTCGTCACTAAGTAGCACCGTATTGGATGGACGACGTATCAATGTTTGTATGTAGGTATATCTAGTAGAGTATCTTCTCTTTGATCCAGTCGTGGTAGTTGCTGACTTTGACGTAGTAGCCGTAGTGGTTCTTTCGGCCACAACCCACTCCCCAGCTGACAATGCCGATGATGTACCAGCGGTTTTTCCGCTGGACCACGAAAGGACCACCGCTGTCTCCCTTGCAGGCGTCACCGATGATCTCCTGGCTGTATCCAGCGCAGAACATGTTTCGCGTCACCTGTAAGAGAACCATGAAGCAACTTAAGCTCTACCCTGCCGCCTTCAGACTGCAAGAGGTTTAAAGGTGAACATTTTAGAGATATCTCTGTGGTTGAGGAGCAACAATAATAATAAGTAAATTATACACCCACCAAATATCCTCGTTTAAAGGCGGAACCCTACATTTCGAGACCTGCTCGGTCTCTTCTTCAGGGGTTGACTGCGGCTATGGCCGTTGAGGAGCAGTATTCTGTTTTCTTCTTCTTCGACAGCAGTGTCTATCGTACTGCATTGGTGAGGTGGCGAAGTCCGTTCACGTGAAGGTGAACATTTTACGTGTCTACGTGAACGGATTTCGCCACCTCACCGATGCAAAACGATAGACACTGCCGTAGAAGAAGAAAACAGAATACTGCTCCTCAACGGCCATAGCCGCAGTCAACCCCTGAAGAAGAGACCGCCTTTAAACGAGGATTTTTGGTTGGTGTATATTTTATTTATTATTACAAGAGGTTTAGGTTACACATTCTGCACGGAAGCAAAAGCTCGCAGTGAACATTACAGGTCTTTGTTCGATCTACATACAGTGCATCAAGAAGGTGTAGGAGGGAATCATATGTTTTTTTTTTTTTTAACCTTCGCTATTTATAACGCCCAGAATGACCAGTTCATATTCAAAATGCATAAAAACATCAATTAGTTGTTGTTTACACATGCTGTTGTTGTTGTGTTTTTTGGAAATGCATTTATGAGTCCTGTCTTGTTTTTCATCTTCAACATTTCATTATGTTCCCTGACGATCGACCTTGTTCCTTAAATATAGCAAAATAAAAAAAACTTTCAGCCCTTCCACTCTGGTGAAGAAGGAAGACCAGCGAAGTTGTACTATGGTGGGAATGAAGTAATAGCGGGCCTCAAGTCGGCAAGCCAGCGTGGAAAGGCCCTGGAAAGGTTGCCGCTATCTATAAGCAAAAGCGGTTGCCGTTGTCGCTCATAGATGGCGGTAGCTGTCTGGAGTGTTATGTCGACACTTATTTGCTGGCGAACACGATCCTGGGGAAACTAACCCATAACAGCTCCGCTGTAAAAAAGAAAGCGCTGCAGACCGCTTCGGGACACGACACATCAGACGAAGGATTCGTTGACGCCAAAACAACATAACCGCATGCAGGGGAAAAGCCTCATCCGGTTCCTTTGCACCAGTTTACAGTCACTTTTAAACTGGGCAATGTACACTGAAAGACACAATTAGCACGAACACGTCCTCGGCGCCCTGTCGCATTTTACTTAGACAGTGTTATGACCAGCATCAATATTTTTTCGCTTACATTGGTAAATTAAATTTGCACTTTCCACCAGACTTCTAGATTCGATTATAGTTTCTCAATTCTCAAGCAATAACGCCTGTTCGTAGTCGTGAAGTGTACTGCATACACAATAGGAGCAAAATGGCGGCTGCCAGATGTCGTACTTGCTCTCGCGCATGACCATGCAAGAAAGTGCGACTACACACGGCTGTCTGGCTCGTTGTCTTACCGGATACGGTGTGGCCTTCTGGCACGTCTTGTGGTCCACGATAGGAAGCCTGATTTCCTGCAGGAAGCGTGGCAGGGTGTTGGCGCTCTCCGTCAGCTGTCCCCAGCCGGTGACCGTGCCCAGCTGGACCTCCCCGGAGAAGAAGTCTCGCTCCAGGAGCACGCTGTCTCCGAGGCACACGGGAAGGATGTAGTCCGTGAACGAGGCCCTGTCCATGAGCTGAACCAACGCGATGTCGTTGTCGAATGTCTGACCATTGAAGTTGCTGCGGTGGAGAAAGGGGAGCGGAGAGTGAGTGCACTCGTGTTCGAGACTTTGCGTTGCATTAGACCACCCCACGATGAGCCGCGGCATAGACCATAGACAAAGATGATATCGCCCGCGACATCAACCCACAAGTTCCAATCGAACCATCGTCGCCAATTTTCTTTCATCTGTGTATGCATTGAAATGTGGTCCCGAAGTGGCAACAAAATAGCGTCGCAGGAGCTGGCTCGACGTGCTATCGGATGTCGAGATCCTATCAGTTGATGCTAAAAGTCCCGGCAAAGAAAAAAAAAACAGTATGAGTGGACGCGAGTGTCGTCGTCGTCGTCCTGGGGTCCCAGCTGCCGTGAACTGTCGAGCTGAAGAACGAGCTGCAGCAGAACAGGCCACGTCCGTCCACCACCGTAGCAGTGTCACCGCGAGGATCGCGACCGGCGTCAACATTACAGTTCCAGGACGTCGTAAAGCAAAAACCAAAAAAACGTTTGTTTGTTTTTTTGATGCGGTAAACACATTAATGGGAGAAACCTTCCGCAAAAGTCCACGCGAAAGAAAGACGATACTTGGGACGTGGCACGAGCCGCATATAATGGGTGCAGCGCGCGGACATGGGGGATGGCTTTTATCGCTAGCTGTAGTGAAAAGGAAAAAGCAAGACGAAGTATTAACGGAAGCAAGTTGAAAGTCAGCGCTGTGTATGTCTTTTTCTCTCACGGTTTTTCTAGTTTGTAATTGTTCAGCTGACCCTATTCAAGTAGGTACCAACTAGCTCAAGTAAAACCTGTAGGCCATATAAGCTACTGCAACTTTCAGACAGTATGTATTTAGGAGACGGACAGGGGAAGCCTTGGCGCCTTTCGGCACACTGCGTAACGGAAGTCGGTAGAAGTGGCTTTTCCCGGGCGTCAAGCACACGGACATCCCAAATAGGGAAGTTAACGTCGTCCTGTTTACTGCGTAATACACGTCTTGAACGTGCATCACGGAGTAGGGACATACGACCGCATGCTCGTCCAGACCGGAACGGACAAGGAAGGGGATAGCATCGAACTCGGGATCCCTATTTTGGCCATATTTTGGGCATCGCTTCCCGAGCGAAGCGTGCGATCGGATCCGGGCTCACACCAAGCACTGACGCACAATTCGTGTCGAATAGGCTCGTGCCCGAGCACGCGCCGAAAGCTGACGCGGTACTCGTGTCCAATGCGTGCTCATGGTGCGTGCACAAAAAATACGGCGGCCTCGGAGCGGCTGATGGAAGTTGCGCACTTTTGAAAAAATGGTATTAGAATCTCGTCCCTGTTCCCTAAGATGACGGTATGGCGAAACCTACGTTTTCGTTGCACCGGCCATCTTTCGCCACGTGCTCACGCTCCGCGCTCACGTACCCATGGACAGAAAGCGGAGTCAGGTGTTAAAAGGGAGGCTCTTGATTGGTTCAACAAACATAGCTTCCACGTCACTGCCAGCTTGGGGGAGAACCCGATACTTCTAAAAAAACAGACACAAAAGAAAATAATAAAAAGGGACAACAAAACAGCGTCTCAAGGCTCCCTTCCCCTCCCTGATCCCGCCCCACTTGAGGTTTTCCTTGTTTATTTTTTAGTGGAGAGGGAAGGAGACCTTCCTTTCCCACCCCTCCACTTAGCTCCCATCCCCCGACCCTTCCGACGGCAGTCCTTCACCGTAGGCGCGGCTCAGTGGTAGAGCGTCCGCTTCGTCTACGGGAGGTGGTGGGTTCGATCCCCCGCCGGCGGGCACCCACCGTCACCACAAAATGGGTACAGATGTTTCCCCGACCTGGCGCTCGGTTTGCAGGGGTTTCAAAGCGTCTGGGAGAAGCGCCGTCGACCCCGCACTTAAGGTTAGCTGTCGTTGTTCCCTGGAAGAGGAGGATTAGCCTAGTGTCGAGTTGAGAGACGGTCATGTGGAGATGGATTCTCACGGTTCGCGGGGACTGTGAGTCTTAGGGCGGGCTTCTTTTTGCACATTTAGACGAATAAGTGCTTGGTAATGATCCGTGGACCACGGGGGTGAGGCTTACAAAGGTGGTGTCAGAATCTTTGAGGCTATCCGCGGAATATACAACTTTGAAAATTATTATTTTGTGCTGTGCGGACTATAAACGGTTCGTTTGTTTCTAAAGATTGATAGTTGATATTGCGCGGATTTTACATGACGATTTGTTTTTCCTAATTCTTCGTATTTTATGCCGTGCGGTCATCGGTTCCGGGCTTTCCTATTCTGTCTCAATAGAACGGTAAAAACACTGTCATACTGACATTGTGTTTCCCTCTCCCCCAGCCGACGCTGGCGCCTGGGGACCGTGTGCAGACTATCTAAGGAATTTTTTTTTTCTCTTTTTTTTTTTTTTTTTTTGCGTAAATCAATTTTGCGGATTATACACAGGGTGCGGACTATTCACCGTATTTGGCGGGATTTGATACCACGAGGGTACCATAGTATTTGGTGCCACAGTAAAGTTCCGGTGGTGTTTTGTTCTTTTTTTTTTTTTTTTTTTCAACAACCTATAGCGATCGGGTAGGAAGATTTTCTTCGGAGAAGTACCCGAAATACGTTTGTAAAAACCTACTCGCATTGTAGAAAGTAGCACAAATAACAAAGGGATGCAAGACAAAAAGAAAAGAAGTGTAAAACCGGAAGCGCGCAGGGGTCCGCCGGTATACAGTGCGGTAGCGAGCTTGTTTGCAAACAAGCATAGGTGAATAGTACGGAAAATACAGTACCTCGTTTATTGCGAATGATTTTTTTTTTTTTTTTTGCCAAGGCCTCCTAATCATTATTAGCGCTTAAGAAGTCAGATTCGTCCTCTCCATCCACGTGTTCGGTCGAGAGGACGCCTTGACCAAGCTGAACTAAAGAGCTGGACAAGAACGATGCTTCGACGCGCTGCCACCCTGCGAAACATTAGACGCCTCGAAGGCGTTCACAGTACAGTGACTCGGCATTTTTCATCCGGATTTTCAGGTCTTATCTCTCGGACCAAAAATGCATAGTCATTGTGCTGTGAACGTCTACAGAGCGTCTGATGCCCCGTAGAAGAAATCTATACTGCTCGTGCTGAGATACGTTCCACGGTCCCCTAGTGAAAAAATTTAATTATATAAGAAATTTTGGGATCCAATAAGCGCATATGATCAAATAAGATCTATAACAACATATAAGAACCTCATAAGAAAATACGAGAAGATATAAGAAGCTCATGATACGTTTCCTATAACTTCTTATATAATATTATATTGTTCTCATGTGTTCTTAAAAATACCCTGAGGAGGTTTCTCAGATCTCCTAAATATGGCGATAACTCATTCTGTTGGCTCTAAACATCCTAGAAATCCCTAAATCATGACGATAGGCGGCCGATTTTCCTATTAAAAAAACAATCAAAGATCGCAACACCATTTCATCTCCGGCGTTGGGAGGAGCGTGTTCCGTAACCAGGACCACTGTCAGTCAATACAAGCGAAGAATCCTTGCGCCTCCGACCGGTGGAACCGCGGAGTGATATCTTGAATGTGCGCGGCTTGTTGCCCGTACAGCCCCGACTACGATTCAACAACTTTGGATTCAACCCAGCGAGTGCGCATTCGACCGCTCTTGAGCTGACGACCAGACACATCACTCCCGCGGAAGGAAAAAAAAAATAGTTTGTTGTGTACTAGACGATTATTGCAGTATTATGTTCCCTCTACGCGAAACATTAACCTTTTTCGACTACTCTTACTTGCTTCTGTCATCCACAAAAGCGTACACATTTCGTAATAACAGCATTTGCAATCTCAACGAAATGTCGAGTTTCCATTGGTCACATGCCGCCTTGCCTGCCGGAGCAATGTTCCTCCCATCGCCAAAGATAATTTTGATCTTTGATTGTTTTTTTGTTTTTTTTTTCAATATTCAAAACCGGCCACGCATCGCTATGGTTTATGGACTTCTAGGATTCTTAGAGACCGCAGAGTGAGTTATCGCCATTTTTAGGCGATTTCAGAAACATCCTCAGTGCACCTTTAAAAGGTTTTTAAATGGTCTTATATGTTCTTATGCTACCTTATTTTACAATATACACCCATTGGACCAAGGAATTTTTTTACACAAAAAGAATTTCCAGTAGTGTTGCGTTACTAACTGCAATTACCAAGAGGTTAGTAACATATATACGACGAGCAGTTACTAACCTTTGGTTAGTACGCGCTGCGAACGTTATTCTACCCTAGTTAAAAAATCATATATATAAGAAATTACTTTGTCTAATAAACACATATCATCAAATAAGATTCCGAAAGAGCATACAAGAACTTTATGGTTTATATATAAGAACAATATAAGATTATATAAGAAGTCAGAAGAAGCTTATAAGAAGTTACTTATAATTTCTTATATAATCTTATATTGGTCTTATACGTCCTTATAAAGTTATTTTATGCTCTTATATGATTTGATTTGATCATATGCGTTTATTGGACATAGAAATTTTGTATACGTATAAGATTTTTTACTAGGGTAAGAGTGAGGCGGTTGGACTTAAAAATAGGGAAGTAGAAGGAGAGCGGACCCGAGGATCGCGGTTGTCGCGGCATAAAATTTTGTGTCTGCTTTGGTTCCCGTCGACTGTCCGGCTCAGGATTGAACCTCATCAGTTTAGGCGTCAGCTGCAGCTCCCTCCACTGGTGTGACACCATGAGAATCGCGAGAGGCAAAAACAGCCCGACACTTTTATGGTGTCATCGGGTGGGAAAATCGTGGGACCACTTCTGAGGACGCTGTAGACACATCTGTTCGCTCGACGTGTTCCCACTGGTGTGTTTACCCCGTCCTCATTTGTGCCCCCCCTCCCCCCGCATCGTGACGTCACAGAAGTGTCACGCTGTTGCTTGTTGCGATCCTGGCGCTGGCACAGCAACCAGAGGCGTACGTGGCAGACGCCTGTCCTGCTGCAGGTAACTCTGCAGCTACACAGAGCGCAAGTACGTCTGCTTCTTTTGCAGGTTGTGGTGACGTCAGAACGCCGAGCCCTATTTGGCTATGAAGGAAGGATTGTGGGTAGACCTCAAGGCAGCTTGCTTTGAGGTCTAATCACTATGCTTCAATCAGAGCCAATCAAAGCTTGACGTCTTTCTGACGTCAGCGCCACTCCTGCGCAAGGAGCAGACGACTTGCTCTGCGCATAGTCCAAGGAGGTTTGAGCAACTATAGGACGCGGCGACGGCAGCGACGCTCTTTTTGCCGAAGCTTCTATGCCCAACCGTCAAGATCGCGACATCCAACAGCGTGACACGCCGGTTCCTTTGACGTCGTTCGTTGCCACTTGGAGACCACTTTGATGCAGGGTGGTCAATGAGAACACGAGTCGGTGACGCGTTCCAGGCACCGCAGTAAAAGTCAGCAACGTCGACCGGGTATCCCTAAAGCAGTGCTTAAACTTCAGACTGGTTGCATTCGCCAAATAAAAGAAGGGTCTTCGTGAGAAGCCAGTGCACCACCAAGCATGTTCAGCTAGAATTACTTCAGGACTCTTATTCTAACTCGTTATAAGACCACGACCGTATTTGAAGATGCCTCTCTTCAGAATCCGAATTTACGTCACAGTTGAAATGGTACTCGGCGAAAATAAGAAAATAAAATTCCACAGACATGTTTTTCATGAGTCGTTGACTGATTGCAACTGACCAGCAGAAACGGTGCTCATAATATGACAACTTCAAGAGGCTGATTAAATGTACCATTTATTCTTACGCTTGTCATGGTAACTGCCTAAAATTTTATTTTCTAATATGCTTTCTATTATAACCATGACCTGAAAGCATCAAAGGCGACCTGGGATCGCCGTCTCATTTGCAAGGCAGATATGGATAAAGCTATCGTGCGGGCTCACCATAACCTCTCATATTTGATGCCCTGGCACTAGCACCGTCATCGCCAACGACACCATATAAATTACTCCAAACAAAAATAGAAAGTTTGTAAGCTTTGGAGTTTGCTTCGTGCCCTCTGGAGAGCCTAGAGATTTAAGGGAGGGAGCGATTCAAACCAAGGAGACGGTTTGCAATTTATTGGTGGACGTGCCCGCTCAAATTGATCGCCCGTGCGGATGCGTGTGTTCTCGCCTGGCAAAGGGGATAGCGGTTCAAGAGGCTAAGCAAAGGTTTATCGTCACCAAGAGTGTCCAGAGTCTCTTGCAAACGATCAACATCTTTTTGTCAACTCGCAGCTTGTGGTGCAAACGCGGCCCATAAGCAATAAGTTGGAAACACTCTTAATTCTGGGCACTGTAGTCGTCTCCTGCAGTTCGAACGGTCTCAGTCTCTCAAGTATTTCAGAAAATGCCAAAACCCGTACGGGCAACATCACTCACGGATGGAAGTGGATGTCGGCAATCTTGGACACAAACTGCTGCGGTTCCTCTTCCATCTGGTCGTACTTGCCGAGCCGCAGCTCCACCTCCTCGACGCGAATGTCGTTCCTCTTGAAGCAATGCGCCGCCGTGAGCACCCACTGGTCGTTCAGGAGACTGCCGCCGCAGAACGCTTTGCGCAGGTCAGTCCAGAACATCACCTGGATTCCCAACAGACCGTTTTCAAAACCCAGTCAAGCAAAACCGGTGGCCGCCTTTTCTCGAACACCAAGCGTGTGATTGGATCCGAGTCCTCGCCGAACGTTAACGTCACACTCGTTTTTCGATACGAGCTGAGCCGAGTTCACGCCGAACACTGACGCAGTCCTCGTGTCCCATACATGCCAAAGTACGTGCCCAGGCAAGGGCGGCCTGGGATAACTTGCGTGACAGCTCCTAGATGGCGCCCTCTTGAAAAGGGCCTACTGTTACCGGGATTGGTGTGCTCATCGCGTAGAATAAACGCTGTGGCCTACAGACGTTTGCGGGTAGCCACGCTTCAAAAAGTAGTCTGAACACCATGGATAGAAAATGCACCACTTGAGCGCCAGTCTGACAACTGTGGGCACGCCTTAGTGAGGCTTGGTTGTCAAACGATCTAGCCACTCAAGTGGCAAGAAGGCGCCGCCCAGAGTCCGTACTTGCGAGCCTCTGTAACCTTAAGGCATCCTCGCGCTTGACAAAACTGGTTCCACAGCAAATTGGATTGGCTCGGAAATATGTTTGAAGCTAACCCTTATGTATTGCGAAATTCCAACGTGCAGTGGCTAGCGATATTAAATAGAATGCGCAAACGACGACCAGGCAGTTCAAACCACGCTGCCGTGCGGCTACCTGGCCTGTGTCGGGGGGGCGGGGGGGGGGGGGGGGGGGGGGAGGTATCGCGCGCGGTGGTGAGTATAGACACGTTTAAAAACCTCCACTGCCATTCTGCTCCTCCACTCACTACCTGCTAAACCGCCTGGTCTATATTGCTTGGTCGTGTTTCTTTCGGTTTCTGGTCATCTCGCGAGCGTACATAGCAACCGAGTTGTGACCGCTATAGGGAGTATTCACTGGCGGCCATATCCGTGTGCGCTGCTGCTGAGCGCGTGCTGACGGCGAGCTTCCGCAGTCCTTTTGGAGCGTGCAATTAGCACCATCAAGGCTGACGGTCTTAGCAGGCTATTAATGTGAGCTCGTTCTGAGCATGCGCTCTAAACATCGCCCTCAAATATGGCGCCCAGTGAATACCTCCTATAGAGCGCTATTCACCAGACGCCATACCTGAGGGCACTGGTGGGAGCGCATGTTCAGAACGAGCTAACATAAATAGGCTGCTAAGACCGGCAATCTCGGTGGTGCTGAGTGCACGTTGCAAAAGAACCGTTAAGAGCTCGCCGTCAGCACGCGCTCAGCAGTCGCGCACACAGCTATGGCCGTAGCCAGGGGGGCCCAGGGGGGCCCATGGGCCCCCCCCCCCCCCCCCTCCGAGATCTTCCATTTTGCTGGGGCCTCCGCTCCCCCTCCCCCTCATACAGCATTTTGTCATAGGCGCCCCTCCCTCCCCCCCCCCCCCCCCCCCCCCTCCGAATCAAAATCCTGCTACGTGCCTGCCCTTTATAGTGGGGTCATCGGAGAAATTCAGACGGCCAAGTTCAGGGACTCCAAGAAACGATTTCTTTTTTCCAATCTGCAGATTCCCCGTCGTTCGAGAGTCTTCAGATTGGTATTTTAGTGACTGGCAGACGAGAGGGTGCCGCTCATTACGTTCAGGTTCTTGCTTCCCGATCGGTTCCTCGGCTTTCTTATCGGCTAATGCAGCACCTTGATTGGCTGCAAAGAGCGATAATGAGATGCTTGGGACGCTGCAGCCAATCAGGCAGCGCCAAAAGTTTATCGTCATGGTGCTGATCGTCTTTGTGCGTTTTGTATTGCCGGTTAAACAATCGCGCACGATGGTTGCGCCGCGATTCAAGCTCTTTCTTTCTGTGCGTGACCGCGTAAAGCCCTTGATCTCCGTCGGACCTAAAGGGAGACGGTTGGTAGTGTCTAGAGTCCATAGGGATTGAGGAGACGATAGTGTAAAATACCTTACCTGCCAGGGATAGGCACCCTTGGTGGAGTCCATCCCGCCAACGATCTTTCCGTGTTCGACGTGGGGCTTGCTCATGTTGGGTCTCCCAGCGAACGGGATGCCACAGACTGAGAGACAGAGAGATCACGCAGAGATTAAAGGAGCCCAAAGGCGTGAAAACAATCGAATAGGGCAGTATTTTTTTTTTCCGTTCCCGTGAAGAGTAGCCTGCCACTTAAATTCGGGAACAAGAAGGGAAGAAATAGTTTCGGGATTTCAAATGCTGCTCCATGGTCACCCCCTGCTGCGGATTTCCCAGAGATCAAAAATTAATATGAACTCTATAATTTAAAATAATAATAATAGAAGATTGATCAGGCTGACAAAAACCGGAGAGCGCGGAATCTGTTCTGCCACGTAGAACGTCACGTGACTTGAGGTCACATGACGTGGTCACGTGTCTAGAAGTCACAAGACGGTCACGTGTCACTTTCCTCGCTAAGTTTAGTGGGAAAATTTACGCACGTAACATCAAATTAAGTGGGGAAATTGACGGGATAATCCTTCACGACGGTCCTTCGGGACGGTTATTCATGACAGTTCTTCGTGGCGTTTTTTCATAAAATTCGGCTGATAAAACACATTTTCTGTTCAAAAAGTGAGGCGAATTCAAGGGTTATTTCGTTCCTGCTGGCTGTTATTATGCACTTTACGTTGCGATGTACTGTAATGGAAGCTGCGAGCGATAAATGAGCCGATCGAGCGCTCCACGCATATCACGTTCCTTCACGTTTCAGGCACTGCTCCGCCCAATCAAAAAATCGCGTGACACTCTCCGAGCTATGGATTGGCCGCGGTGACTCGCGCCGTCCGCTGCGGTACATCGTAAGATAAAGCGTACTGTAAAATCTTGAATGAACGCCCACCCTATATGAAGTGGCAAAAGGGCAGAAATATGAGATGAGCAACCTTTTGGGGGTGGGCGTTCATTCGGAGCTCTACGGTAGTGTAAAATTTCTGTAAAACTTGCTGTGTAAGATTTTCTTGAATACACTTGTCTTTGTGTTTCCGTCGGCTTTTCACACCTGGGTCGTGGTCTAGGAGTACATATGGCTTTCCATTGTACACTTTATCTGAGTAGTCGACGAGACGCTTCGGTTGAGTCATTTCGTGGTTCTTACCCGCGACTTCATGGCCAGGAGAATCATTTGCGAACGAGTATGCGAAAAAAAACACTGTAAAAGCTTGCAACTGACACGTTCTTAAAACATTCCCAAAGTCGCCAGTCTGACACTACTTTTCTCTCCGTCAGTGAAAGCACAATTAATCCGTCAGAAGACGGCCTAGTGAGGTTATGGTCAATCGTGGAAGGCCAATCACATTAATTACATCAATTCTGAGGTTATAATGAGCGACTCAGTCAACACATATAAAAGAAATACGTAGAACTAAATTCTCGGCGTCACCTAAAGAAGGACGCGTCGTCCTTCTTTAGTTGACGTGTTCAATCCGTGCACCGCGTCCGTGCACGTATTAAACACGAGGGCTGCATAAACGTTTGTTTGAAACTCGGGTTCTCATTGATTGAACATGGACATGAGGGAACGCTGGGGCAACACAACACGTTATATCTGCGCTCAGAATTGGGGTGACGTCGGAAATTCAGCACTACGGCTTTGCTATCTGAAAGGTAATGTCTCAGCGCGGAGCCGCACTCACTTTCCTCGATGTTAACCCTGGGCATGACCCTGAGCAGCGCCGATTCCTCCACGCTGCAGTTGAACCGCTTGTCCGTGGCCACGCAGGTGTAGACGGCCGAGTCCTTGGGCATGGCGTCGCTGATGTAGACAAGGCCATTGCCCAGGTCCCGGTACCTGGGACTGGTCGGGAAGGGCAGGCCGTTGCGCAGCCACGAGATGCTCACGTCGGATGAGGGCCGCTTGGGCGCCTGGGCCGTGCAGTGCATGATGGCCGTCTCGCCGTGGGACAGGTGCTGGTCCTTGGGGCTCTTCTTGAAGACTGCGCCAATGGGAGGCACTGTGCTTAGTACGCCTGTACGCAAACCCATGTCTCCAGCATGCATCACGCCGCGAGTGGATCTGCTGGCGGTCGAATTGTGCGCGCTCGGAAACCCTTTTGAGGAGCTGGCTGCCACTCGCGCGGTGTCTGCTGCGAATGTGAGTCCACGCACATGTTTATGAACAGTGCTTCCGTGTACGTACTACGACCGCGGGACTTTTACTCCGCATCGATCTGGGGAGTGAAAAATAGCTTACAAAGAGTGGCCCCACAAGAAGCTTTGGGAGTCGCCTCTAAGTTGTGCCAAAAAAAGACGAGGACGCGGTATTTAGGCTCGCTGAAGATCTTCCACGAGGCTATTTTTCCTGTCGAGCATCGACACGTGGGGAAGACAAGTAGGAAAGGTCCATTGCGCGATCCGTGACCAACAGTCGGAAGAATATCTCCACTCCATATGCACTTCTTAAAAGAAGCCTACACCGCAGAGGGCAACGCCTTCTGACCACCATTGTCCTGGTGTCTCAAAAAAGTTCATTAGAAGTACTAAATACTCTACATGTCACATTTTCAATACTCTTGGATAAAAAGCGTTGTGCCAGGTCACATTTGAACGTACTTTCTTTGCCAAATGCAATCGTGGTTGAAACTCCCAGTCGTGTGAGCGATGATAACACTAATCATCAGGGACACTGAAACATTCCGTGATCTGTTTAAAAAGGATAAACAACATGACTCCGAGACATAAGTTTTCTGCAAACTGAGCAGACGAGTACCCAGTTCATCAGGCAACCGTGTCCTAGCCATGACGCTTGCAGGGGTTGGCAGTTAGCGTAGGTAGAGCAGACTAAACGGATGGGTTCAAAAAGAGTGCTACATGATGTCAGTGCGATTGACGGAATAGACCGATCTCATCAAGCGTTCGGCGCATGCGTGACGCCGCCATAACTTTAGTTCACAGGAGACAAACGCCAGTGCACGAGAGGGCTCCTGTTGTCTCGTGCTCTACACGCGCACAGCTTCAGCGGGTTTGTCGCACGCGCAGAAAGACTAAAGTTCCCTCGATGCATTGCGGCAGCGGTGGCGTAGTCAAACTGGCTGGTGAGATCGGTCTATTAAACGCTAAAAGATACTGTTTATGATGCACGCGGCAATCGCTTTTGCTCTTTTTTAAGCTAGAAACTAAACACGTGCATAATTTCAACGTTGGTGAACACGTGAATGAGTTTATAAATGATGACAACAAAGCGGCCACACAAATGTCTAACTACCTTGTCGAACTTGGTACCGATTTGACTTCACTGAATGTCACCTACATATGACATGAAATAACATTCCTACAATCGTCATTTCTTGCGCGTACGAGGGTTGAGTGGTATATTGTGCTGCCCTCGTAACAAAACAAACCGTCTGCTTGTTCGGCGAGCTTAAGTTTTGTATAGAGGTTGTATTATAGTGGATTCTATGAGTGTTCAGTGAATCACTGCACAATGATGTGCATTCAACCGCGCACCATAATTATTTCTGTATTTTTTATATGTGCATTGAGGTCTCTCCACCCCACAAGTTGTGCCTTCAGACTTTTATATTTTGCGCTATGGCGCGCCACTTTTTTATTCTTCCTTTCCCGTAACCGACCACCGAAGTTCACTGGCTAGCCTGTACTATATAGCTATAAAGGTGAGCGAACGGCGGTTCAAATTTAATAGCACGGCGTCATTAATGGCCTTCACAGTGCTGGGGAAACCGACGACAAATGGGCTATTTTTGCAGTGTTGAAGCTAAGAATGACGCTGTGCTGTTCGATTCAAACTCCTACCCGCCCACCACTACCGAAGTCCTAACAAATAAACAAACCAACAAGCGCGTGCCCTGTGGTAGGAATGTAGCTTTTCCTCCTCATTTTCCTTGCGTTTTTTTTTTCGTTTTTTTTTTTTTTTTGTGACGATGATGAATGTGATAGGTTTGTACACCAAAAAAAAAAGATTACTAATCTCACGTACTGCCGGGGCGGCACCTCCTAGACTTCCCAAAGCCATTGGCCACCTGAAGAAGGCAACCACGCACTCTAAAAAAAGTCTGTGCGGCTACTTTCACGCACAACACTCGGAGAACCAATCAGCCCAACTTACGGAGGTAGCTCAGCGAATGACGATGCCAAAACATCTGTTTAGACCAAAAAACGCAGTCTGAGTTGTGACATTAAGCAATGCAAAACGTCACGCTTGCATTGCTTAATGTCACAACTCAGACTGCGTTCTTTGGTCTAAACATATGTTTCGGCATCGTCATTCGCTGAGCTGCCTCCGTAAGTTGCGTTCATTGGCTTTCCGAGTGTTGTGCGTGAATGTAGACACACAGATATTTTTTAGAGTGTGAGATCGGGAGAGCGAGTCCAGAAAGGGTCAACTCACAGACGTTGCACTTGCTCTGGGGCTTGGTGCCCACCATGATGACCTGCGCCGTGGCCATGGCCTGGCGGTCCTCGGTGGTCACGATACAGGTGTACGTGCCGGCCAGACCCGAGTGCATCTTTCGGATCCAGAGTGTGGTCGCCGACACCATGTACAGGTTGGGCAGTGGCATGCTTCCGTTCAGCACGGCGGTGTCGTCCTTCTTCCTGATCGTCAAGGAAAGAGACCGAACGATCGGCAACGACCTTTACCTCCAAAAATCTTATGATGCACATAATACAGTATTTCATGAGCAATCGCATAAATTTGTTTAGAGCACATCTAAACAGTCGTTTCGGGGAGTGAACAAAGACATATTGTTTATCGGTTTCCCTGTTAGATTCGGCTTAAAGAATCGAACGTCACGTGACCTGAGGTCACGTCGCGGCAATTTTCCAACTAAATTAAAAGGGGGTAAACAGATTGGGATGCAAGTCGCACGGCGTCAATTTCCCCCTTAGATTCAACATGGAAACTAAATCGGTATAAAAGTCACGTGACGTCAATTTCCCTGGTGAATTTAGCGGATAAACACATGAACGGTCGGATGGGCGGACGCAGTAATTCTTAGAATTCAGAAGATTTGCTCAAAAGCATTTTTATTTTTATTTTATTTTTTTTGCATACCAACATCGCCTGAAGAGGCGTTATAGTAGGGAGGGGCACATACTTCATAGAATTTCTACATTTCAATTACACGGTGAAACACAAATATTCAAAGAATAATGCACAACGGTAGTTAGAAGAAACATTGAATTTTTTTAGAAAAAACAGCTCTGACAATGCCGTCTCAACAATGTCACTTGTCAGGTTATTCTAATTCTCAATGGACCGCTGGAAAAAAGAGCATTTGAAAACATCAGTTCTGCTGTGGAATGACACATTTTTTTTTAGTAATCTCTTCTTTGTGATACATAGGCAGGCTCAAAAATATACGTGGACCTAGTAATTGCGCCACTGTTGTAAAACACTTTATGTAACATTTTGAGACGGGAAAATTTCCGTCGTTGACTCAGAGGCATCCAATTTATAGACGATTTAAGTTCAGTTATGCTAGCTCTAAACTCATACCGGTAACAAATCTCGCAGCACGATTCTGTACCTTTTCTATTTGATCTATAAGGTTCTGACTGAACGGATCCAATAGCTCACTGGCGTAGTCGAGGACAGACCGGACATGAGAAAAATATAATGTCTCCTTCAAAGAGGGCGGAGCCATCCTAAAATTACGTTTAATAAATCCCTGTGACCGGCTTGCTTTCGCTGTAATATAGTCAACATGTTTATTTCATTTTAAATCGCACGAAAAATAACTCCCAAATATTTAGCCTGCGATGCCAGTTCAAGTGAAACACCACCGTATTGTAGGATGAAGGAATAAATTTAGTTTTTTCTAGTGAATCTAACGATAATACATTTAGATACATTTAGAGACATGCGCCATTTGATGCACCAGTCATCAATTTTATCTAAATCACTTTGAAGAGCGAATACTTGAGCATCACAGGTCACATCATGCACTGTACCAAATGCAATCGTCTGCATATAATCGAATATGTGAAGAGACGCCTTCAACTATATCATTAATGCATATTAATAAAGGAGAGGGCCAAGTACCTACACCTGTGGAACTCCGGATGTTATTTCTATATAGGGGGACTGTAAACCGTTAATTAACACGGACTGTTTTCTTGAATTAGGTAATCACCAATCCAATTAAAAATTTCCAGATCTATGTTTAGTTTGTGAAGCTTGTTCATAAGAAGAGAAGGAGGAACCATATCGAAGGCCTTTTTGAAGTCCAAAAAGATACAGTCAACTTGTCGGCCCTTATCAAACGATTGTGAAATGTCGTGATAGAACTCAAGCAACTGCGTGGTACAAGAAAATCCTGTAAGAAAACCGTGTTGAGACGGGCGAAAGAAATTTATAAGACTAAGGTGTTTCATTAGGTTAGTGTCAATAATTTGCTCCATAGTTTTGCAGCACATACTTGTTAGTGAGATGGGCCTGTAGTTTTGTACCAGATTTTTTGAGCCAACTTGTGGACGGGGACGACCCATGTGCAGATTTCCAATCCAGAGGCAAGAAGCCACATTTCAACGATACCGTGAACAAAATAAGCAAATAGCTCGAAATAACTTCAGCACAAGACTTCAGGACAGCGTTGGGAATTTCATCGGGGCCAGGTGCTGAACCTTGTCTAATTTTCTTTAGAAGGTTCAAAATACTGTGTGTATCAAAATAGATTTCAGACATAAAATCAGTAGAAACAGGTACTTCTTCGGAATCGCAATAATTCCCCGTGACGATATCCGAGAAAACAGACTTGAATTAATCATTGAAACTGGCAGCCTTTAAATAGTCATCCTCTAAAAGGCAACCCTCGACCAAGAGGGAGGGAATTCGAACAATATATATTTTTTATTAGAGCGATGAAACTTCCAGAATTCCTTTGGGTTTTGCCTGAGTTTCACATTTAGTGTTAAAACGTGGTTTGCCCGGGACGAAGTGATTGCACGTTTAAGGGCGATACCTATCTCCTTTAGTTTATTGTATGATGCAGAGTCATTACGAGCTCAGTATTGAGTTAGTGCACGTTTATTTTGTTTCCGTAACTCGGAGTTCATCTATGGTTTATCCTGACTACGCTTCGGGGTGATAATTTTCGATGGAACGAAAATATCAACCAGAGTCTTTATTTTATTTCTAAATATGTTCCACAGGAAGTTAATGTCACCTGTCATGCTTGAAAAGTCTCCAGTTGTTAAGCGTGCTTCATCTTCTCGCCAGGTTGCTCTGGTAAAGCGAGAAGCTGAACACCATCCCCTATCACAAACATAGGCGCCGTTGGTTGATATACAAGATCTACACTTACTGTCAACAGATATCAAATGATGCTATATCACTTAAGATCACCGTCCAACATAACTGCAAGTTCTGTGTATACCCTTATCAGCCAGAACATTATGACCACCTATACCTAATACCATGTTCCTTCGCCACTGGCACGCAAAACAGTCTCAAGGGTCATCTGCCGCCAAGTGCGATATTCGACGAAGTTCAATCAACGGTCTGCTCAGAAACACTTGTACCTTGACCTGCTTTGCATCTAGCTGTCAGTTGAGCAACAGATAGCCGCTTATTTTTCCGTCGGAGGCTTTCCCAAATGGGAAATCCTCCAACGTTCCCATTCTGCGTTGAGGCTTGAACGTGCAACGCCTCGGCAACTTCTAAAAGTTTTATCGTTCTTTTTGTACTTTTGATAAGAACTAACGACGGCAGCTCGCAAACACCCGACGACCTTTACAGTTTTCATGGTACTTGTTCCGCGCCACCGGGCCATTGCGATCTGCCTTTTGTAAAAGTCTTTTAAATAAGCACCCTTTCCCAATACTTGCCCAAATAGTTGACAAACTTAATCTTCTAAATCCCCGGCAGCCGTTAGCTACCAGCTGCATCAGGAGTTCGTAGATAACGCGGATGGAACGTCAGCTAAGCGCGCTCATTCACACAGTGTAGAGGTGGCCATAATGTTTTGGCTGATCAGCGTAGGTCCGGAAACATAGTCAACAACTGCAGCCATGTTACCAGTTTCTGTTTACACGTTTTCGGGCATACCGTTCTATCACTCAAAGAACAAAAATCTAGTAAAAAATGTATCTAATATGTAACGACACCTGAAAGGTATCAATCTGATTCAGCCTAGCAAATAAATATGTGAAATAAAATTGTTAATTGTAGCATCATATTTGTAGTATGCATCGTTCAATATATTGACAGGTATTTCATATATTACGAAAACAGAACTCGGCCTATTTTCTTCTGAGAAGAAGCATACGAAATGTCTGTAAATTCAAAAAGGCAGAACAGCTATGCACGTCATTATTGCGAAACAATTTTCAGAAGGTTGGAGAATATTTTTTTGCAGTCAATAATGAGAAAACTCGAACGAGAAATTCTTATAGGGGCTCAGGTACGACGATTACAAGCGCTCATACGCGAAGACGTATCTACCAGAACAGTTGCATCTACATGTCATTTCCTAGTGTTCCAATTGTCTTCTTTCTAATCCTTGTTTCTGGGTACTCTTAGTATTCTTGCGATGTACCCACTAGCCCGTCTTTTCACCTTACGGTATGTCCTATCCCCGTTTCTTCTGTTGTTTTAGATAGTTTCCTCAGACGCGGGTATCCTTCATAGACAATTGCATTGTTAGCGCGAACACGACACTGACCTTTTTCTGGGTTTTACTCAAGCATGGGCACCAAAATATAAAACTTCAGTTACTGCTCTAAAAAAACAAAAAAAAATAAAAACTTTCCGCCGCAATTTATTTGTTTTAATGGTAGCTGTTTAGTTATGGGGAGAAAGACAGCAAAAACTGGGGATCGCTTGTTCGCGCTAACAGTGCCACTCTATGTACTGCTCGCGAGTCTGTTTACTTTCAGGTGGATGCTGTAAGTAACTCACCAAGTGACTTTGGCTCCCGGAACTTTTGGAAGGCATTTGAGAATTCGGCTGTCGTCGGAAGGGACGGTCTCTTCGCCCGAGATTTCGTCGATGAGTTCGCTCGAAGGAACCAGGTTGTGCTTGGGCAAGGTCACCGTCTGGGCATCGTCCACCTCTGCTTCATCTGCGCACGCAACAGACGTTTCTCAACTGAAACGCGGAGTTCTCTCAATACTAACTTCGCATAACGTTTTCTAAGCTGAGAGTGAATGCCAGCTAATTCGCAGAGCATGATTTTTTACAAAAACCGCACAGTCATCATCATCATTGACGTTGGTGAAAGGTAAAATAGATGGATGCATGAATCTATGGATGATAGTGGCTGTGCTATTTATAGACCATTCCAATCATCACCTCTGTGCTGCCGTCTTTTTCACCTGGTATGTAGAGCACGATCTGAGTATGCACATGCAGTAGCGCTCTTCCGGGAAATATCAGCTGCCGTGCATCCGTCCATAGCGCAGTGACTCGGCATTTTCACCTGGGTGATAAGCCCCGGAAAAAGTATATCGGGCGACAGGTTTCGCCACCTATGGATGGATGGATGAATTCTAACGGCTGTGCCCTTACAATGGCGGTAGCTTACGCCACCTAGCCCAACCAACGATGACGATGATGATTATGATTATGCGGAACAACACCCATATTATTTCGAAGTGCACATTATAAAGGAGATTCAGCGTGTCAGTTAAAGCTGAGCCAAACAACTGTAGATCTTGTATCACATGAGTGCAATCTCTGATACTCTGAACAAGTACTAAGTACTGTTACGTAGAGCAAGACTTGCGGTTGGTTAATGCAGTAGACACAGCATTCGCTACCGTTGGCTTAGCAGCGAACAAAATATAAAAGACAATCTCAACACGATGTATGGGTAGTTTGACGGACCAGGTCAGAGGAGGTCAAGGAATGTTACGCATAATAATTTTTTTTCTGTGTTCTCACCGTCACCTGTGACGAGGTTGTAGGAAGCCACAAAGCCTCTGAACTCGGAGAAGTTGTCACTGTAGAACTTGAGCCGCATCCGAGTTTGCGTCGAGAGGAGTTCCTGCATCTCCCCCTTGTCGCCGCACATGCGCCCCAGCGACTTCCAGCCTGCGTCAAAGTGGAATTTATTATCAATCTCACTAGTGGCCATCATCCTCAATCAAATCGAAGTTTCTCAAAAATTGTTTAAACAAAAGTGTTCGAAAACTTTTAAGTAACATGCCAAAGCATTTTTGTTTCCCGAACGCAGAAAGAAGGATGGCATTCTTCATCTTACAACGGTATACTGTTTTAATTCAGTTTATTACACGACAGTTGCACCAAGAAATGACTCTTCACCTGAAGAGTTAGAATTCCAAACACCATCCCTAACAAAATAATAAACATAGCAGTGACATTTTTTGTGGACTAGGGTGGGAGATCGCGGTTCAAAACGTTATATCTGTCCATCACTATTATTAAAATTTCTGGGTTCTGAAGACGTCTAGAGGGAGTTCAACCTTGGTAGCACACATGGTTCTAGAAAGGCTTTCAAGTTGTGCCAATATTAAATAGTGTCCTGTGGACAGCATAGGACATAGATGCCGCCTGAATTCTATGTCCTTTGAAACGACCCGTTTACATTGGATATGTTCCGAGTGCTCAAGAACATGGAAGGATTTTACCCCTAAATGAAAGGAAGATCTCAAGATAGAACTTGAACAAATAATCTCATGGGTGACCTTAGAAATATGATGTTTTGTTACTTGGTGTACTCAGTATTTTAAGAAAAACAGATAGCAGATAATATTGGACCTCCGTGGGTAGATAATTTGCGACTCAGTGGGTATTCCCATCGAGACCCTAGCGCCCACTGTATGCCCCTCGCAAAGCCTCTTCGCAAAACTGTGTTACCTTCGTCTGCATCGTTTTATCAATAGTAGAACCCTCCACGGGCATCTCTTACTCACGTGGGTCTAACTATGGTGCCTGGAGCGCGTCTCCGACTGGTGTGTTTAGTGTCCTATCCCGCCCATACATCAAAAGTGGTCCCAAAGTGGCTACAAATGACGTCAGAGAAGCCGGAGTGTCATGCTGTCGCATGTCGCGATCTTGGCGGTTGGTCGTAGAAATGCTGGTGAAAACCACAGGCGAACGCGAGTGTCGCTGTCGTCACGGCGTTCCAGGCGTCCCAACTTCCAGATGCTTTAGCTTCCGCGGACTGCCGCATTGGAGAGCGACCTGCAGCAAAACAGGCGTCTGCCACATACATCACAGCTATTGGGACGCCGCCAGATTCGCGACCTGCGAGAGCATGACACTTCTATGACGTCATCACGCTGAAATCGAGGGACCACTTTTTTTGGACCCGGTAAACACACCAGTCGGAGACACGTTCCAGGCATCGTAGTCTAACTGCATGGTGTCACGCGACAATAATTTTCCCGCTAAATTTAGTGGGAAAACATGACGTCACAGTCTTACTCGGGACGTCACGTGATACCAAGTAGTCACGTGACGTCAGCTTCCTTACTAAGTTTAGTCGAAAAATTGATGTCACGTGACCAAAGGTCTCGTGACGTTCGATGACGTGACAATAATTTCCCCGTTGAGTCTAATGGCAAAAATCATCACGGTGTCATGTGACGTCAAGGTGTCACGTGATGTAATGGCGTTACGTTACGCCTCCATGTCACGTGACACCGCAGTGTAACGCGACGTGACGTCAAAATTGTTCCACTAAATTTCGGTAGCAAGTGCTGATCGTTAAAAACCTTATCAAGTGCTATCGGGCCTTGATTGCATTTGACGGAATGTCTAAGATAGCCAATATTTCCTACGCGCAGACGGACTGAAACCCTGCCGTGTCAGGAGAACACTCCTCCCAAGTTTTGCGTAGCGCCTTCGTCTGCTAAGTAAGGGGCCTTTTTCGTCCGCGCAGAAGGACCGGAAGCCTACCGTCTGGGAGTCCGTCAAAGACCTCGACGTAGTCGAAGGTGCAGTTCTCGTCCGGCTCGAGCGAGAAGTCGTCGAAGCGGAGGGCGACCCTGGTGCCCAGCGGAGCCTCCAGGTCGACCTGGCAGTTGGAGCTGGCCGGGTACCTGTTGGGGTAGTTGGGCGTGGCGACGGTGCCGTTCTCTGAGTCTGACGTCAAGCCACAGGCTTCAGATGGAAGGCAGAGCGTGCGCCGCCCACACAAGCAGCGTGTCAGTCAACAGAGCTCGACCCCAAAACACACACACACGCGTCCCATCTCGCTCATAAAACCTCTTACAAGCACTAAGACACCAAATTGTGCCAGTTAGGAAACGTTGTACAGGCTGTCCAAAAACAAAGTTGCAGGGTTTTTGTCATCGCTAAGTAAAGTACGCGCGCTCATTCTTCGGTCCGAATCAGATTCCAAAGTTTCAGAACTGTTATCCCAATCAAACGTTATACGTGATTTTCGGAAACTTTCAATAGGAAAACTGCAGATGACCGGGCTCTCTAATAAACGGAGCTGTATGGCGCCAGTTACCAGGCAAGGGCCCCAATTTCCCACTGAAATTTTCAGAGTAGCATTTATAACCTTTGATAAAGATAATGGTTAGATCTCAAAACTTGGTATCTGGTTCAAACTGCCAGCACTGCACATGATGGCGGAGAATGAGCATTTGGCGAGGCGTGCTTATTTTTACGGTGAAAAAAACACGAAACTTTTCGGGAGGGGGGGGGGGGGGGGGGGACTTTTTAAGTCGAATGAACAGTTTATTAAACGTACAAGAAAAACAAAACTGCAAAAGGACAAACCTGTACACGCACCTAGAGTTTAATAGACTAAATAAGGCACGAAGAAAGCAAGCGCAGTTGGCGAGTCCTTTGATGAGTGTCTCGAATCTGGTGAAGTTACTTCACTTCCTTTCTTTGCCCTTATCGTCTATTATACTTCAGTTAGCAGAATACAGCTAATACCCAAGACTCCTTCGTTTCTGAACCGCGCCTTAGTACTATAATCGATTACTTCAAAATGGCAGCCATGTGCAATATAATCAAAACCGGGCCATCAAACCTTGCCAACCTCGCCGACAAACGAACGGACCGTCATTATCTTTTTTTTTTTCAAACTAGATGAGGGGCTACTTCACAAAAAAAAATTCCTATCGAAAATAACACAAACCATACTGAAAAAAATGGGTAAACATACACCATACATCCACTAGTACCCTAAGAATAAAAAGAAATGAAAAGTAAATACTTTTCTCAGAAAACTTTACTACGTTAAAATATAAGTTTAAAAAAAACTTCCTTAGCTTATACAAGTATAATACACACAAAACACAACAAAATAGTGTCTGCATGCGCTGCGCGTTAAAGCTATTTAACTGAAAGTCCCTAATTATAATTTTTTTGAAATGCAGGTGAAAGAGAACAAGGCAATTTACTCTGACAGGTAAAAATGTGGTAGGCAACCACGGCTAAATTTATGTAAGGGACGATTACTAGATGTATTACTAACTATTACTGATTACTATAACTGATTGCTAACTAATAGATACAATTGTGTAACTATTGAGTTATAGTTCGAAAGAGTAGCAATACAGTACAGCCCGTTTATATATTGAAGTCAGTTTTCTCGGGAAGACATTTCGCTATAGCAATATAATTAAATAAAATAGGCTTACTAGTCTTACTTGCGCTTAAAGGACACATGCAAAGGAAAAAAACATTTTTTTTAGACAGCTTAGATGGAAAAAGGATGTCATAAAACGATTTTACAACGAAGAAACAAAATTTTTAGAGCTATATTTACGGCGCTATACGAATTTGTAGTTGGCGCTCGCGGGAGCCGCCGCTGGTCACGTGGTAGGCCCGCGCGCCGCCGCGCTGCGTCGCCGCCGCACGCTGAGCGTTGTGCGAACGCCGCTTCAACGCGTTTCTCCACGCCGCCGTCGCCGCCGCCGCACAAGTTCGTCTGCTTCGGGGCGCCGCCGCCGTCGTCTGACCGGCGCACAGGTCTATCGCGTCTGCTTGCGCTTTTTCAGGAGTTTCCTTTGGGCTCTAAAAGTTACTTATTCGTCTTGGTTTTTTGTTATACTTCAAACAAAGATGAATAAGTTACTTTTAGAGGCCATAGGAAGCTTCCGAAAGAGCGCAAGCACCACGTGATAAATAAAGACCAGTCACGTGATAAATACAGACCACTTTTCCGCGGTGCCCGCGGGCGCCAACTACAAATTCGTTTTGCGCCGTAAATATAGCTCTAAAAATTTTTTTTCTTCGTTGTAAAATCGTTTTATGGCGTCCTTTTTCCATCTAAGCCGTTTAAAAAAAAATGTTTTTTTCCTTTGCATGTGTCCTTTAAATTTACCTTCGATATATCTGAACTTTTGCTATGTCCATATCTTCGTTCAACCATGTTTTACTGTATCCGTACCTTCGCTATATCCGTGTCTTCGATATATCCGTGTCTTCGATATATCCGTATCCTGGCTGTATTCGTCCTTGCGCTAAACTTTTTCCTTTGCTATATCTGTATATTTGCTATATCAGTCTTCTAAAGAGGTTCTAGTGTTCTTAGTTACCTTTTATGATGATTGGAACATACCTAATAGAACGCAATCAATGCGTGAACTCACCTCCCTCGTGGGTCGCCTTAATGCCTCCCGTGTTGGTTTCGTAGTGCAGAAAGAAGCCGCGGTTGTTCAGCAAGTCGTCAGACCTGAAGTGGACTAGAACGCTGTTGCTCGTTGATCGCAGCACCCGCTTCTGCGAGTCCCCGCAGAAACGACCCAAAGACGGAGAATCTGCAGATCATAGAATGCAGACAGCAGTTCTTGCAGACTGCTGTCTGCGATTCGGTGACAACAGCAGTATAGGATCGCCACCATTCGATTGTTATGTACGCAGACTTGCAAGTAATCAAATTATTTGTAATGAATTACCTTTTGAGCAATTTTGTAATCATCTAATTAAATTTTAGGAAGTAATCGCAGAAGTAATTTGATTTCTTTCGGAAGCACTAAAATTAATTCTAACCACACTATTTTTCTGATGGCGCCATTTATTTATACAATTCTCATTCAAAAAATCCTCGAATCAAGTCTCCGGGAGGAGGATGGTTTAGTAAATTTGGTGAATTAAGAACTTATCCTATTATTCGGTAATTGTAATCCAATAATACACCGTTCAAAAAACCAGTGTTCAAGCCGGCAGAAAACCTGTCCTTTCGAAAATCTGAAGTAATGGGAAATATAACTTTTACATTTTCAAGTAATCGCAAATTAATTTTATTCTCGAGTAATCGAGTAACCTAACTCAATATTTTTAAGCAAGATTAATTGCAATTCATAATCGTTTTCGTGTTAACTTTTACATGAATTTATGCACCTTTACAACCGATAACGAGACTTCGAAAAAAATCCCCCGGATTAAGCATTATGTCAGATGAATTGAAGGTGTGATACCGCTAATACGTAGTTCCTACCTTACTACGCAGCCCTCATTCCCACGCAACGAAGAAGGGAGAGGGAACTGTAAGCGAACCGATTAACCCCTTCCCCCTTCCCCTTCTCCGCGCGGAGACCAACAGGACAACCTAGCAAGGTCCCATGGAGACTTTCTATGTATAAAAATGTATCTCTTTAAAAACACGCGTGGCCACCGTGAGTACAGATAGCATGGGTGGTCTAATCTAGTGCGTTAGATTTTCACGATACAAGGGGGACGGTCCCCAAATTCAATCCAATCTAATCCCATCCAATCTACACTGACATGAATCTGAGAACCGCCAGGGAGCTTTAGCAAAGTTATGGGATGCCGGGCGACGTCGTACGTTTCCCGACACAGCAAAAACACGATATCCCTGTTTTATCTTAATTTCACTGATACCGTTTAATGTATAGAACTTATTTACTTTCCCACTAGTTTTTTCTCAGAGTCGCCAAGCAGTGAGAGAAAAAAAACGCGGTGATTCCACGTTCTTTAGGCTAATTGATTGCGCTCTGGACGCGCCAAAATGGCGACGCCCAGGGGCAAAGGTGTATTTCACGTGGAGAAGGCTAGGAGATGAAGCACATTGCCTTGCGAGCTGTTTTGTATACAGAGCCAGGAGTACACTGGCTGCGTTCTATTTTATACATAATATGTGACGTTGCCACAGCTACTGGCCTGAGCGCCCGGCTTTACCAAACGTCTCATTTGCACAAGAGCGCGCAATTAACAACCTAGGTCAGGTTACAAGCTCGCCCCGACAGCTGAGGCAGGGTACATCATGTATGACGCGGAGTTTATCCCGTATAAAGGCTTTGACCTTTTGCCAGTAGTTCTCGTTGTGCTCCGGCATTAAGACAACATGGAATGTGGCTCTACGAAGAAGTGCCTGTGAGAGTTAATTCTCATGGTTAGATAGCGCAAGTTTCCGCCCAATTTGAGGAGTTCTTCCGTATTCACCCATTCAGCTGCAGGTAAGTTATTTCCCTGTCCTCACCTTCTGAGCCCCCGTCGAAGACCTCGACGTAGTCGAAGGCGCACGACTCATCAAACTCGAGGGCGATGACCTTGAAGCGCATGACGAGGATCCTGCCCGGTTCGACGTTGATGAGTGTCCAGCAGCTGCTGTTTTCCGGGTACTGGTACGGGTAGTTGGGACTCGTCACGTTGCCCTCGTTGTCCGTCAGGGTGTCACCGCACTCTTCTTCCCCGCTTTCTAACGCTGCCAGGTAAAAAAAAAAAGGGAAAAATTTGAGTGGTCTTGGCAACCCACAGTGTGCAGCAGAATATATAATTGGGCTAATTCATCCATCGAAAGATGCACCAACTAGCTCTCGGTAGTCCTCGACGTCGTCTTGTTCTTTGTCCCTTTTTTTAGGCGGTTATTCTACTCGGCTATAAACGTTTGCAAGTACGGCCTCTGGGCACCGCCATCTTGCTGCTGTTATGGGTAGATCATCTGATAGTCAAGTACTGCTGAGGCTGTGGGTACGCCTCAGCAAAGTTTGACAATCAGTCGATCTACCCATACCAACGGCAACATGGCGGCGGCCAAAGGCCGTACTTGCTAACGTCTGTAGTCTGCTGCGGGTTAAGAAAAGTAGGACGAGATCCTCCCACCAAGTCCTTTGCCTTTTCCACTTCAGAAGAGCTAACTAAGTACCTAACTATGGGATACATGATTAATCTTACTCCGCGAAAATTCAATGGCATTGGCGGTGATCGCTTTTGCGTCATATGAACCGCTGTACGCGCGCAGACTCATGGTTTTCCTCATTGAATTGGGAGGGGCGGTTGCTGCCATCTATCGTCGTGGACAGTCTTTGAGGCAGGAGAGACAGTCGTCTATGCTGTCTTGGCGAATCCGGTATCTCGCGGTGCATCGACGGCCTTCTCCCTCGGTGCAGCACGACAGCCTCTACAGCGCCATGCACACAGTCTTGGGGCACGATCTGGTGCTGTGGTTGGGTTGTTCAATGAAAATTATCGGAGTAGAATGCATTTTCTAGTAAGGTATTTAGCGAACGTTGGACAGGAGTCGAGAGAAGTAAACAACCAATCATGGCGATCAGAAAACTTTGTGGGTTGGGCTTGTCCTGCTCTTATTTTTCAGCAGACTATACACTAACGCACTGTTTATAAAACAAGCCGGAGTCTGCCTACGCCGGCTGTATGCAGTGCGCGTGCGCAGAAACCAGATTCGCGTCAAGTAAAGCGTCTGCACATGAGCAGGGCCGACAGCAGCGCCACCGCTGTGGCATTGCGACAGTGAGTTGAGTTGATCTATAGGATCGAGACGTTGGACAAACTCTACTCGTTTTCAGCTCAAGAAAAGGGAAGTTTTGCGCGAAGTATACTTCGTTTCAATCTACGATGGACTAAAAGCTAGCTAAGGACCACCCGATCCAATCGCGAGGCACTTAGAAATTGCGTGGTATTTCGCTTTGATGCACGTATCGGGGCCCACGTCTCGAATCAATGATGGGGATGGGCGGACAGTTCTTTGAATCGAATAGCACTGAGTGACTCACTAATTTTACATTGTAAAAAAAGCCGCCATATACATGCTCTTTGCAGTGTCCAAACCATAAAAAATATGCAGCGTTTTTTGTTTTATTCCAAGCATTATTCGTCCACCTTTTATCAATGTTAAGCATGTCTCATTTTAGTGTGGTACGTGATTGGACCTGGCGGCCCATGGCTTTGGCCTTGCGTGCGCCGTAGGTTGACACAAGGTGTCGTTTTTACAAGATGTGGTTGTCGGAGAAAGAAGCGACGCTTTTTGGCGTTTGAAACGTGTACGTCTTGATAAGACAAGATATATCTAGTCTAAAATTCATCTACTTATATCTTGATTCTCCACATAAAGTGGAGAAATTGTTAATGCTCCGCGAGGAGTCAGACTTTTTAATACCTACTTCAGGTGAAAACGAATACTCGATAAGCTACGCATTGAGTTCTGCGCCCCATTGGCAGATGTTCTTGCGGGGGCCGCCATCTTGGCACGTACTGCAAAGCAGGCGCAGCATGGCACTCGTTCCTATTCGACTTCCTGAGGATCAGGTAGGGCGTAGCACTTTCATAAATAGGGGGCGTAGTACGTACACCCCTTGTCCCATATATGTAACACCCCAAAAATAATTTCGACGTTCAATCCACTGACGTCAAACTGACGATACCAACTTTCACGAGCCACTTGATAGTTATGTGATATAACACAAAAAAACTAATGTGCGTGCCAAAGACTACAGAAAAAAATATAAACCCTGACGTTTTGGAGCAGGGCCAACAAACATTGAGAGTGTTTTTTTTTTCTTTAATGCATACATTGGCTATTTTAATAAGTTGTATATTTCGATTATCAATCCGCTGTTGAAAGTTGGTATCGTCGGTTTGACGGCAGTGCTCTGAGACCCGAATGGTTGTTTTGGGGTTGAGTTGAAGCTCGGGCGATCTCGTTTCGCCCCGTCGTCGACTTTTCTGCATTTTCGGAGGGCGGAAAACAGTTTCCCGCGATTTCAGACAGCGCTTCGGATGACTTGCGGCAATGATTATGAACACCTAGACGGTTGAAGTTGCGCTCTTCTGAAGCGTAACGTACTTAAGGGCTGTAAGACAAACGTTATGCAGAACCATCGTCTTCCAGTTTAGCTTTCACGCGTGTGTTACAAGTGCGTTCAAGCATCGCGTAGAGTTCTGTGACTGATGAGCCCACATGAACTTGTCTTTACAGAGTGTGCGAGTGCCCGCGTGCAGGGGGTAATGTGCAGAGCTACGCGCTTGCGTTCACGTGCTTGAGGTAGCGCTGCGTCGTAATGTTTACCAAAGCCCCTTCATGTTTTAAAAGTAGTGCAATGTGCGTCGATGCACAAGGCACGTGCAGCGTGCAGCCCTTGGAAAGATTATGGTGCACAGCGCAGCACTGAGCTAGATTTCAGACGCCATGCTCTTCTTAGAAGTGGCGCGCGGCACGTCTCTCGAGCATTTCCACAACAATGAATGGCGCCACTTTTCACGGGATAGATGGGCTTTAATGTTTACAGATGTTAGCGCAATCCTTACATGTTTGTCGCTTCGGAAAGTGAGCTAAGCATTGTTGGGACAATGATGCTAAGCACGAGCTAAGGATGCCAGATACGCACCAACTCTGGATATACAGCTGCCAAAAGCATCTTATAAAAAAAAAAGTCCACCTTACGCACAAACAATGAAGAGAGCCGCGGCTACAAGTCCCTCATTAGAATGTTCTATAGACCATGCCGGTTAACTTGTTTCATTTTGTTACTGTTCCTGTCGTCGATATCTTTGACTAAACTAAAAAAGCAGGACTACTTCGATTAATAATTTACGAAATGATAAATATAAAACGTGACGTGTAAGGTGGCATGAGGTGGCTTGATGCAGAAATATTAAATTCCTGCCCTTTGACTTTCCAAAAAAGGGGCTTCGTACGATTGCGCGTCGGCAATTGACGCTTTTAATGCTCGCCCATCAGAGCCGAGAAGTTGTGCTTTCATCTAGGTGGCGCAAGTCGCCGCCCATTCGGGGTTCAGCCGTGTTTGCTCATGCAGAGTGAAATTCGCGGCAATTGTTTGTTGTTGTCGTTGTCCTTTTTCCCAGTCTTGGGTTTACTCAAGTCTCTACTATGTACAGAAGTTCATACCTGTGACCCCTGTATCTGCAAAGAATTCTAGGTGAAACCCTTTCTCCTCGTAGGACTCGTCCGATTTGAAGACCACCGTTGCTGTAGTCGCGTTAGTCTGGATGGTCTTGTTGAAGCTCGTGCCGCATAGCTTCCCCAAAGACGTCTGCTTCTGACCAACCAGGACATCGATGTTGTCGTATCTGCAGAAGACACAGGAGGATTAGCTGTCGCAGGAAGGAATTTCATCGGTCGCAATGACAGGAACGAGACATACAAACGTCAAATTATGATCCTAACTGAGCACGGGTATCTCTCTCTTTCCTAAAGATAAGGCCAGGTGGCTTCAGTCATCGTACTGGTAATATCTCATCCCCAGTTCTTATGTTCTGCTGGCTCTATTTATCCCGTTTAACCTACATTCCAACTAATCTAAATAGGCCCTTTGACTACTACAAAAATGGCTATGCTCAGTAGTGCCTGGACAACTCTGGTGTTGCGCAAGTCTTCTGTCACAAATTCCTTATTCCTGCTTACTGGTTACCAGCTGAACGTTGTGAAAAGTAAGTAGTGTTGGCCTGTAGCTGAGCCGGTTGGTTACCCATGCTTACTGATTACCAGCTGAACGTTATGAGTTCTTGAGTTGCGACATGAAATACAGCGCCATATTTGAAAGCTTCCGCTCGTGAATATTGCCATAACTCTTTTATCACTCAATAAAATTGAGTGGTTAAGAAAGCAGTCTTTTTTGGCTTGAGTCTTCTTGCACCAGAAGGAAACCAAAAACGTTAGGGCATAAGCAAAAGCAATATACTTGGAACTTAAGGTTTTTCTTTGTGCTTGGTTTGCTCTGGTGGCTGGGAGCCTTACGCAAACGTGTATCTTTCTAGTTCCCATCATACTTAGGAAAATCCATTCAAGTAATTATTGTTTCTTCATAAAATCTAAACTATGCATTCATGGCTATGCAGAGTTCGTTGAAAAAGCGGATGAATTACCCATTAGGTACATAAAATAACTGCTTTAAGGCATGGCACCCTTGTAAGTTATCACACAACTTTGGGGCTGAAGAAGACTTAGAAAACGGCAAACTCGATTCCCAAAAATGTATTAATCTTACACAATAATAAAAAACTTCGAAGCTTGCCTTTTTTTTCTTTTTTTTACAAAACTAATAGTTTTAATGATCATACATTGTGTATAAATAAACTATTAAAAAAACTGATCAAGACTGACACCCACTCCGGAACGACTGAGAGAGCCATAAAATTTGGCGCTGCCTCTGATTCAAGAATCAAAAAATGGGTATTGTCAGGCCGAGTTGGGGTGTATTTAAAGTGGACCCTCAGAGGCTCAGTTAACGTGTACCGAAAACGGTCATCTTGATGATATGGCACAGGTAGCAGATTCACGAAATTTGGTGTCTGCATACCTCAGCAGAAACAGATTCAGTTATGCATTTGCTTTTATACATGGGTCCTTCATTTTCGGGTAAAACCCAATATTTTTTAATAGTTACACCCAAAACACTTTTTTATATAAAATCGGTTTAAAACAGATTTTTACCCGAATTTAGAAAATGCATTCTACCATTTTACAAATTACTCTCATCCGAATATATTTTCTATGAAACAAAAAGTCGGTAGGAATACGTACGCTAGCTTCAGAGCTTGGAGTAGATGCTAGATTCTGTTGACCTCATTAAACTTCAGTAAAAGATCGAGCACCAAATGTCATACATGATGATTGAAAACCTGAGACTGTGGTCTGAAAACCAGAAAAACGTTAAGTTTTTCTGTTTTTCGAACCACTATCTCAGGTTTTCAATCATCATGTATAACTTACACCAGCTCGCCTGCACTTTAACCGTTTTTTCATTGACCAAAAATGTCATTTTTTTGACCATTTTGAAATATCATTTGCCCTGGTTGCCTTTTCATTTAAAATAGCACAAAAGAAGAACAAAATAATAAGCAGTTTTGATTTGACATGAGCGCTCATTCGAGTGGCAGTGTTGTGCATTGTAAAAGCTTTGTTGTCGACAGGACGTTTTATCAATTCAGATATGTCCAAAACCGTACAGGTCTAACATATAGACAGAAATGCCACCCATGCAGATAATTATGTAAGCAACAAGGTTTTATAAAAAAAATAGAAACAACACAGTGAGCTGTCATGTTATGTCAGAATGCTGTCTTGTGTATTTTAATGACTTGGTTGCGAAAAAACAAACGCATAACACTCAAAGTTATCATAACCCTAATATTAATCATAGATATTTACTTCTAAATATAAAATAAGAAAGTGAAAATGGGGAACAATTGACTCATGACTCGAAAACTCGATTTCTCCCTGATTACAAACTTAGAGCAAAGAGCCTGATATTTAAACCCAGGTTTCTTTTTATATAGAAAACCGGAAAACGAAGGCCCTATTTATATACAATGTAACATAATTGGAAATGTGTTGCGCAATGTGGATTCACTTGGAAGGAGCGAGATAATATGCTTTGAGAAGATTGAAATAAAAGCGTCCCGGATAAAATGGTTCCGAATAAAATGGCCCTAGATGAAATGGCCCCGGTCAAAATGATTCCAGTCAAAATACTCCTGTTTAAAATGGCTCGGGACAATTAGTCTCCGTGCAAAAAGGTCCCCGTGAAAATGATACCGGCAAAACGTTCCCGGTCAAAATGATCCTGGAAAATATTCGTTCAAGGCAAAATGATTTCTAACATTATGGCTCCGGCCAAAATGGTCCCACTTGAATATTGCTGCAATCTTTTCCTACAACTAACGGACTTGTTAATTGCCAATTTGTCCGGAACCATTTTTTTTTTCGAGGTCATTTTGACTAGAAACATTTTTTCTACAGCCCGCTTTGATTGCTTACTCGCAGCCGGGAGACTCTTCGATCTCTATGGCGACGAAGCGTAGCGTGATGCTGCCGTCCGCCTTGATGATCCACTTGCAGAACTTGTTCGACTCGTACGACTGCGGGTAGCCAGGGCTGAACAACCGGGCCGCCTTCGACAGGGCCGTGATGTTGCCGCCGCAGTCTGAAGAAAAAGAAGGAAACGAAACCGACTTAGGCACTTATAACTTAATGAGATACTAATGAGATGCCCGGGCATCTAATTATCGCTCCTCAGCCAATGAGATGGCGGCATTGGCCGAGGAGAACGTCGAAGGACCGATCACGAAGCAAGAAACGTGAACGTGTGAAGTTACGACCTGCCCTCCTTGAGCTGTCATTGACAATAGTAATCTGGATTCGCACCGCCTTCTAACGATGCATTCTTTGTGGGGAATCTGCAATTCGCGTGCATTACCTTGGAACAGTATGCGCAGTCCGTTCAGTTGTCCTACGTGGAGAACGAAGCAAGTTGCAATGGAGATCTTTATTTTTTGGAGAGAAAGTTTTCTTATTCCCTGAATAGTTATGTTTAGAGAATATACTGTGTGACAGGTGCTAAAGCCCAGGTTAGTAGTCGTGTTGTTCTGGCCAAATGGCCCGTTGGAGATATCAAACGCCATGCTCATTTGTTGCATGTTTTTCGTCCTTATTTACATGAAGCAAAATTGACGAGAACCGTTCGCTGCATTCGACAGCTATGTGATTCGCAAGTCTGAAGTGAAACCCTGCGATGCCCTCCTAGATACAAAATTTGAGAGGCAAGACAAATATAAATACAAAAAGATCAGACGATTTGAAGACTACAGCACAAAACTCTTGTCAAGAAAAGTGTCCACATGATCACGTGTTTAAGTTGTTTCGTCCCCACAGTCAATGACTGGCGCAATTTTATGAACTCGTTCCAGCGGGTGAGCGGACAACGCAAACTTCTCGCATACAATACAGACTAAATGCAGTCCGTTTTCAACCCCCGACTGCTTGAAAATTCGGACCACAAACTTGCCAGAGATAACATTTTAGGGTCGCGCCCTCAGATAATTTTACTCTTGTATTGTACTTGCATTATAGCATTATACTATTGTAGTTTGGCAAGTCAGAATAAAACATGAAAATGGTCGCAGCTGATACGAACAGCTTGAAGAGGATGCTCCTTGAAAACTCAAAATGGAAATCAAATTTTCTCTAAAGCCACACTCACACGGCTCAAACGTCATACAAAGGTCACGATGTTCGATGCAGACACGATGACAACATTGTGTGCAGACAGGCCTCACGCATGTTCATAGCATGTTTGCTTGATATATAGGGTGTTCGAAACAACGAGGCTGGATTTAAAATGGGCCGTAAAAATCAGCGTATGCGTATAGCAATCTAAACTTTTCGTCAAAGGTGTATTCCACAGGTCGGCTTTATCTTGTAAAATTATAAAGCATAGCTCCCTTTCTGTAAAAAATAGGGCAAAACACCTTGCCAGTGTCAACGGCGGACGGCGACGCAGGCGACCGATTCGAGTGGCAGGGCGCGTTCGGCGCACGTATTGATAGTGGCGCTACCTCCTTATCGAGACTGCTCGCGACGACCGTGGTCTATTAAATTGAGCATAACATTTTTGTTATGCACCTATGGTTTAAAAATAATTGCGGACAATAAAAACAGAAGTCGAAGTAAAGACAAAATAAAAAACGCGATTGCATAACGACGGCGCTCTTGCTGCCGACGGATTTTCTCTGCTTTCTTTTGCTGGTCGGCTACACCTTCCGACGCTGCTCCTAACGCCATCTATCAATACGTGCGCCAACGCGCCCCGCCGCTCGACTAGGTGGTCTGCTTGGCCCTCTGCCGCTAACCCTACAAAATTTCTAGACCTCTTTTTTTTTTTTTTTTTTCAGGAGGGGAGTTACGCTTTGTAGTTTTACAAGATAAACCCTACCCGTGAAGCATACGTTTTTATGAAACGTTTAATGGCTACGTGCAGGCGCCAATTTTTACAGACCATTTTAGATCAGGCCTCGTTATTTCAAACAGCCAACAGATGTATGCTTCAAACATGTTTGCAGGCAATTTTCTTTTGTGTGTGTGACCAGTGTTACAAAAGTGGAACGCAAGAAAGAAACACGTCTGAGACATTGTCTGCTGGCTGTCTATTGTACGCTGTATTCGCAGTGTGACCTCAAAGTTATACTACGACTCTTCGGGGTTCTTCATCTAGTCTAGAAGCCATGTGTCACTCTGAGGCTCACAGGAGGGTTATTTTTGAGGTCGTGTTACTCGGTGTCATGCAACAAGCCTTCCCGCCTAAATTCATGCTCCACAGGCACCATTCCACTCAATACACCTGTAGTTTGAAGCAGGGGGCACACAGCTTATACATCGTACAGATGACTGTCTGCATACAGATTTGAACGGGAGTCACCCCGAGATCCGTGCCACGAATGCCGCATGGCAACGAGTTCAAAGAAAATAACTTGGCACGCGGCAGATTCGAGCCACAGATGCTCTAATTAATTACAACCTTCAAGTGTAAAAGAAAAGTAAAAACACACAAAAAAAAACTTTCATGCGTGTTCGCGTTAACGGTGTCTTCGTCTGCACTTTTAGACCGACGTGCAGCTTTGAAACGACACGCCGCTTGCGGTGGCGCTGTTGTTGGCGCGGCGCATGCGCAAAAGCCTCCTTTCGGACGAATCTGGTTTGTGCGCACGAGCAATGCCCACGCCTGGTGGAAAGGGCAGACGCGGGCTTATTTGTAAACGACGCGCTGACGTAGACATCGTCCTTCCGCCATTTTGTTTGATCGAAACATTGCGTGAACCGAAATTCGTCTGATATTTTGTATAGAGAGAATGCTATTGTTATCTCTTGAAACTCGCTGCAAGCTGGGTTTAGAAACGAATTTCCGCTTGTGAGGAAAGCTGCGGTATTCTCTTCTTTCCGGCCCTCCAAATAAAAGAAACGTATTCTGTGCATAGCTGTGAACTTTCGCGAACGGAAGCGACGCATAGTTACAAGGTCAAGGTAATACGCGATGTAGCGTGCACGTTTCTGCACTTAGAGGAAGGAAGTTTTCGCGCCTCAAAGGTCGTTAGGGTTGTTTCGCTTTTAGTTTCGTGTTGTTTTAACGTCAAGACTGCGCGAGCGAATGTATCGCAGCAAAGTGGTATGTTGGACCAGTTGGTTTGTCTTGAAGTCCGGTAGGAAGAAAAAGACATGTACAAAGACAAGCTATGCGACACAAGGTGCATTCGAAACTTTATTTAAAATAAATGTCAGCAGCAAATATCGGTGCCAACTCGAGATGAAAAAAAAAATTGCTCTAGCTTGGTCGTGCTGACAATGACCGGGGGACCAAGAATGTGTTGTATTACCAGACGCATTTCTGGTAATATGCGTGCGGTAACTCAACACATTCGGGGTCCCCCACTCCTGGTCATTTATATCAGTGAACAACACTTGGCAGCAAGAAAGATAGCATTGTTTTCTTTCTTCCCCGCAACTTTTGTTGTTGGTGTTGTTGTTTTAGAGCGCAGCTCTTAGGCGCCTGTTTTCGGCTTGAGCGGCTTCGGCGTCGGCGCAACCAACCGCGCGCGTTGCATTGGGGAACGTCACAGTTTTCCTGCTATATTTAGCGGGGAAACAGAATTCGTGTTGAGTCCATGTGACGGTAGTTTTACCGCTAAATTTACCGGGCAAATTGACGTCACGTTACCTCAACACCAATTTAGTTTGTCCGCTAAATTTAGCGGGGAAAAGGACGTCACGACTTCGTGTCACGTAACCGATGAACAAATGCAGCTGCAGGAGGACAGGAGGAGGAAAGGAGGAGGTGGAGGATAGCAGGTGGTGAAGGAAGAGGGGAGGAAGAGGAGGAGAAGAAGGGGAAAGGGTACGGAGGAGGGGCCTGCCCCCCCCCCCCCTGCGTATCCTCCCCTCCTCCTCCTCAATAGCTGCGCTCTAGTTTCGCATTACAGAGGTTTGTAAACGTCTTTCATTTCTAATTTAAATAAATGCTTAAGGTGGACGTCAGCCGGGCGCATTAAAGATGTTCGTCTTTCTCTTTTATCCCTTGGTCCAGGTAGCGTCATGTTCTCGAACTTCTGCATTTAAATCGCCGCTGCTTACGTCACACTTTCACTCAGTTTCTGCTTTCCGCGATGCGTAGTTTACTTACACTAGCCGAAAGACACAGCTATTCTTTTTCCCAGAAGCCCGATACGAATTTTTCCGTTCGGTACAATTAAGATTGCCAAAGCGAAGTTCAATCAAACTTAATCCCCACCACAAATTGAACTGGACGCACGATCGGTGGAATCCATACCCAGCAGCTCACGTCACGTATATTGCTCCACGCAAACTTGGCCCCCGCGGGAAATCTATATACAATCAACCGCAACTGCTCTTCACAGCTCGTTTTCATTCCGATGACCTTATTCAGGGACTGCACTTTTAATGGGTTCCTGGGAAGGCGTTAGTGTAATAGAATCACTTCTCCTCCGACCTTCCCCTTCAGCGCGTATTTACCTCGTTCTAACCATGACCCCTTGCACCGTGTTTCAAGTTTGCCGTGAAATAGTCTCTACTTCCGGTGAAATACCTCCTGGCGAGGCAACACAGAGAACATATATTACGTATACGCTGTCCTGTCGACATAGCAGCACGCTTCGCCTACCGGATTTGTGCGATGAAAGCACGTTCGACTGGAACAAAGAAAGAAGCAGTATACTTTTGTCATTCTGAACTGACGCGTGGTACGATAGAACACGTTTTTTGAGTCGGTGCATCTAACACCAGCTATATACTCGCAGTGATTAAAGTCGGGGAGGTCTTGGGGGGTTTCCGACCCCCGCCGGCGATTGGTGAAAACGCAATCATAAGTACTCTATCACGTAATCAGAAATGTTAGGATTTTTCCCATTGAAGTTTTGTTGAGTGCACCATCTCCGGAGTGAGAAAAACTACGTTGTGATTAGCCATGTCCCTTTCGTGTGGAACAAAATGGCGGATGTTTCAGGAACACTATTAATTCTTGACGAGAAAAATATTCAAAATCCACGTTGTCGTTGGGGATTTTTTTTTTTTTTTTTGAGAAACATGCCGGGTTACGCATCCATTTTAGTCAAGCCCGTTTTGTGTGCATCTAATATG